TAATGATCAATGGTCATGTGCCATGTAGTGTGAACCTAGTCACTGTCTTAGGCTCAAGAAGCTTTAATCCAAGTTAGGCTGACAAGCCTGGGCTACAGATAGCCACTGGCATGGGCCCCATCTCGGGTACAATCCTATGTATATTTGACAGAAAGCAGCCTTGCAATTCTCAGCATTCTCCAGCCAGCATGGCTTGCTACAATTGCATCCTTATACAACTTCCCTAGGATAAATGGATTCCAGGCTATGGCCATTACAGCTTATTAAAAGAACAAAAGGGGAAAGAAACAAGGGAAATAAAAGTATCTCAATTTACTGATGCATAAAGTAGCCTATCAGATGATGAGAAAGAAAGGCGGATTGTCTGAAATTTTCTCATTTTCCCCCCTTGCAAAATGGCTTGCTTTTTATTAGTCTTGCGGGATTTTTTTTTCACTGAAAACTATAATTAAGGCTGCAATTTCATGCCTACTTTTTCAGCTTCTCATAACTCTCTCCAACCAATTCCTTATCACCAATTCTTAAAAGGCCATGGTTGGGTTTTTCATATGCTTTTAAATTGCAAAGTTATCTGCTCTGGCATTATTATAATCCAGTAGAGAATGTAATTGGGGTTCTTGGAGCCAAATTTACCCCTTCTGTAAAAAAAATAAAAGCAGCAGGAGGGGGGAATTGTGCCACTTCACAATCATTGCAATGGATGACCTGCCTGCAATGAATAACCGAAATATATAGCAGCGGCCAATTGCAGGAAAGCTCCGTACTTGCCACTGATTGCAATAAAATCCTTTCTTTGCTCTGAGGTAGGGTTGTTCCCACTGAGATGGCGCATCTGTGTTGGAGGAACGGCTGTTTCATTTCAGAGTGCTTTCTGAGTCACACAGATTTGTTTTCCTTTGTTTTACTTTTGGGGGGATTTGCTCAAATATGCCCTTGTGCTGATGCATGTTAGCACTAGTATAGCTCAGAATTAATGTGCATTAGCACAAGTTGAGCTAAATTCTTGTACATCCCTAAAAAAGAAATGGGATTATCAATCAGCAGAAGACAGAATGAAAGACACCTGACAACCTGAATGCAGATGAAACAGATCTAACAACAGCTTAACATCCATCATGATTATCAAAGATGTGCATAGTGTTGCATAGATCTGGTTGCTGATGTACCTGGCATTCAATTTAATGTCCCAAATTAAAATAATTCTATCTCTGTTCAGTCCTCCCATGTTAGTGAAAATGAAGCCAAATACAGTAGTACTTCGGCTCACGAATGCCTCAGTTCACAACCAAATCTGGTCACGAACAAAAATTTCATAAAAATATTGACTTAGGTCGTGAACTCCCCATTGGGTGGTGACTGCAATTGTGCTGGGCTGGGGGGCGGGGCAGATGGCCGAGATTGTGCCCATCTTTCCTGCAGGAGCACAACCACAATCTCACCCATCCCCTGGCACGACCGCACCTGTTTCCCCCCCATGAGCCCGCGTTCATACCCGTCTCCCCTGCAGCGCACCCCGCTCATGCCCGTCTCTCCCTCCCCCAGTGTGCCCGCGATCACACGCATCTCTCCCTTCACCCCAGCAAGCCAGGATGACAGGCACATGCAGGGATGACGGGCGCGATCATGGTTGTGCTAGGGGGGTGGGGAGATGGCCACGCTTGTGCTTGCGGGAGGGGGAGATGGCCTCGATCTTTGTTGTTCTTTGTCACATTGCTTCACATTTTTCTGATTAAAAAATAGTAGTTACAGAACGGATTAACCTTATTTACATTGAACCTTATGGGGAAATTTAACTTGGCTCACAACCAACTTGG